TATGGATTATGGACTTTTATCTGTTGTTAAAAATGCCTTAATGATATACAGTATTTGTTTCTTATGATCACTTCGCAAGACATTAATTGATGGACTGGATTGGTGTGGATTACTTGTGGATTATTGTGATGTTTTTATCAGCTGTTTGGACTCTCATTCTGACGGCACCCATTCACTGCAGAGCATCCATTGATGAGTAAGTGATGCAATGCTACATTTCTCCAAATCTGATGAAGAAACAAACTCATCTACATCTTGGATGGCCTGAGGGTGAGGACAAATTTGAGCAAATGTTCATTTGATTTTTTTATCATGTTTATCTAGTGTAAAAATCTCTATAGTCATTTTGAAACTCATGCAAATGTCTTGTGGGTCTTTCTGAAAATGCTTTTAATGTAACTATAAATGTATATATGATCTAATTAACACTTCTTTTAATTTTTTAAATATGAATGGCACTGCTCTGTAATGCAAAATATACAATAAAAAAATAAAAAATAAAAAAAATCCAGTTGTCACTCATAATGTCAGTTGTGTTTGTACAACATAAAAATACCAAAGGGACTTTTATGACAAAGTTCTTCCTCGGGTTAAAGGTCATGCATGGAGAGAGTCACCACCGACCAAGCAGTGAGCTTATTTACATTTACATTTACAACATACATTTGTTGGGAATTGAACCCATGTGCTTGTTGGTGCTTTTTTAATGTTTTTTTTTTCTTTTGCATGCATGATTGCATGATTATATGGTTTGTTGCATTGAATTATTTACTGCATGCTCTTGTGTTTGAATTTGAGTTCAGCTACAGTTTGTCTATTAACTGCTTTTGTGAAAAGGCATGTGTTAATTAGTTATGATGAATTGTTTGTTTTTGAAATTTTTGAAAATGCTGAAATCACCTAATATTTAGTGAAATTAAGATGAATGGAAGCATTTTGCTTTTTCCATACCTTTTATCTTGAAAATCAAATTATTTTGCTCTTCTGGTCTTTTAAAAACTGTTTGTAAATCTCTCGATATGCTATATTACCACCACATTTTGGATTCACTCTTTTTTTTATCAGCTTGTTTTCTTTCAGTTAGCACAGGTTTTGTATTTCTTTTTGAAACTGATTGATTGTAGGCCTCATTGATCTGAGCTTATACACCTCAGTTTTCAAGAAAGAAAGCATGGATAATTTGACACTGTTTGCTCAAAAACGTATTATTAAATTATTTTAAAGGGAAAAACTTATATTTAATTTGATGATCAAAGATGAGTTTTAAGGGATAAAATTAGTGACTGCAGGGTGACTTTTATTTTTGGAGAAATATACTTTTTGAAGGCATTTTTTGTTTGTCTTTGAAAATTCAGACATTTTGAATTTTGAAAATGCTGCAATCAAGTCATATTTAAAGATATTAAAATCAATGGAAGCATGTTGCTTTTGCAATATCTTTTCTCTTGAAAATTAACCGTGCACTTCAATCAGGAGTAACACTGGCCATGATTTTAATACAGGACTGATGGGTTTCATTGCTGAATCTTGTTCAGATGTGAATACTGCTGCATTAGATGCATGTATGGCCGTTCAATCAGATTCATTTCATCTCAGGGAGGGTCAGAGTGTTTGAATTCTCTTAGGGTCATATTGTTTTTGCAAAGTGCTATTTTGAGCGGGAACATGCTGTACCGCCGACACACTAATGCACATGTGTATGTGTGTGTATATATATATATATATATATATCAAGTTCATGAACACTACACCAGCTCAGTGCTGGGCGCTCGGCCTTATCACAGCGGGATGCATGCGGTGTCAGATAGACATTAGGGATGGATAGAGAGGACGAGTCTGTTAAATAGGTCAGTAAAGCCATGATATATGACATATCACTCAACACATACAGTATAGGCCATGAGAAATGATATTGAGACCATGAAAAAAGTAATCTGTGTTGCTGATCAAGATGCTTGAAACGTGTTGATGAGCATGTGTAACCTTGAGGAAGTGCTCTTGTTCTGCGGTAGCTAGAGATCGCATCGCAGCATTTGACAAAAAAAGTAAGAGTGCTTTTGGAAATGGATCCATGCTAATACAGAAGATCCGGTTTCCTTGCCAACGGATATTTTTGATCTGCATTGCAAGAAAGAGATGTTTAAAATGTTTATATCTGTTGTCAACAGTTAGGAGTTGTCTAGCATATAGATGATTGGGTGCGCCTGGGGCAAGTTGTCACGTATTTCATGATTGGGTGCGACTGGGGCAAGTTGTCACGTATTTCATGATTGGGTGCGACTGGGGCAAGTTGTCACGTAGGCTATTGAAATACGTGACAACTTGCCCCAGTCGCACCCAATCATCTATATGCTAGAGAACTCCTAAATGTTGACAACAGATTGTTGTTCAACTGCAAATATAAGGCCAAATGTGCAGCTGCACAAAAGCTTGTTTTGTTTCAGTTTTGTATGTTGGTCAATAATAGGCTATAATTTAGAATGATCAAAATAATCAATAAAAGGTCGCCAGATTACAATTACAATTGCTTACAATCACAATTTCTGTTAGTCAAAATAATGGGTTGAACTATAGACATACATAAAAATACATTAAAAAACAAAAATTACTAGAAATGTAATTTTTGAGTTATTTAAAGTATACAAATATTTGAGTTATTTAAAGAAAAGCAATGCATTGATTGGAAAACAAATATAAAACATCTTTCTTTCAATAAAAATGAAGGTATTTTCTTTGAAACTGTAAATTTATGCAAAATGCATGGTGAAGAGTAATGAAACACTATATGCGTCTCTGGCTCTAGTGTTTACACATTACACAAGACAAGAGTTCATGTTGTACGATGCATATAGGGTGTGTAGCCTCTACATTAACACGGGAATATTAGCCGTGCTTTAATAATTAATAACCCTTCATCAATGATCTGTTGACCTACAGTCACCCATCACTGCTGGATATTAAAGCCCAGCTGCAGATTCAGAATTGCAGTTTCTCAATACTGAGAGACACATACATGAAGACAAAGACTCATTATGTGGCACGTGTGTCCTTCACAAGAACACTGTGTTCTGTACATTTTGTTCTAGATGTCACGGAGCGAGAAGCGCGGACCGCGGCACGAAGCGCTCTGGCGCCATCTGGCGGTAAAGACGCGTGATTGAACGCGACACGATACGAGCGTCCCAAACAATTTATGGACACTGAACTTCAAGCCGCACTTTAATATGTCTAAATGACACGACAAAAAATCCAAACAAATAATTTTAAAAGAACGAAAAACCACCATTTATATTTTTAATTTATGCATTTGTAATGTATTAATTTATCAAAATAAAGACAAAAGGAATGTACCCACTTAGCTGATGTCAGACATTAGTAGGCCTATTTTGTTATCTAATGCGATGACTTTCAGACATTTTAAGTGACTTAAGTGTCCAAGAACACCGGGGCTAGTTGTCACACTTTTTACTCCAGTGAATATTTTTGAATATAAATATAAGTGAATATAAATCTTTGAAAGTGTTTTTTTTTTTTTTGTACAGACACAAACTCTAAAGTCTCTGCAATCAGCAGGTGTTTTTATTGTTGACTAAAATAAAAATGATATAGGCTACCTGTGGTAATTAAAATAAAGCTGAAATAAAATAAAACTATTAGATGAAAAACGAACTAAAATGAGAAATGTTGCCTATATGCAACCTACTGAAATAAGTAAATAAGAGTTACTACTAAAATTACTTAAACATAAATATTTGAAAAAAAAAAAAAATAAAATTGTAAATAAAAATATAAATTTCAATAAATGCACATTGACCTTTTGTGACAACAAGCCCCTACAGCATTGTGTTCCCCATTTTTTCAACACTATATGATCTGTATGAAGTAGGATTTTGTTATAAGATTGTCAGATCAGTTTGAGAAACCTCTGCTCTAAGTTTTGAGTTGATCTTTTGATATTTTGTTGCCTTTTTAAATGGCTTTTCAGCAAAACATGACAAAAATTAAACTCAAAACAAAACATAAATTACAGTAATTGATTGTATTAAGTTCCATAATAAATGTATGTGACAACTTGCCCCAACCTTTTTTTTAATTTAAACTGCCTATTGTATGATTTTCAGCAACATTTTTAAAGTAATGTTACAGAAAAATGAACAATTCTTGTAAAAGACAACATACAAAACCAATTTTTAGATAAAAAAAAAATAATAATAATAATAATAATAAATATATATATTTGGTCTAACTACAGTGGTAATTTATATTCCTCTCTTTCTGTTTTGTCCCCACAAAACTCAGAAACCAGTTTTATGTTTTTTTTTTGTTTTTTTTTTACACCATGCCGAAATGACCAGAGATGATTTGTAACCGCTGTTTCTATTAAATTACAATAAAGATTTGAAACAAAAACAGGTTTTATTGTCTTATAGCTTTGGCATAAAGATAATTCGATTTATTTAAGCCTCGTTTAGTGCAGGAAATAACAAATGCTTAAAGTTTATGCCAATTGAGGCATTTGATTACATATGACATGCAGATAGCCATCTAAAACCACATCTGAATTATCAACCATAGAGGAGACCAGGACAACTGTAATGCATTTAATATCTTCAATTATAAACATGTCAAGAGTTATTACATTTATCGTGAATGTAAATCATTTGTTTAATTATTTCTAAGTTAAATGTTTAGGCTTGGGGTGATTACTGCAATGCAATGCTCAATTGAAAGTTGAAATGCTATTTTAGTATAATTTATATAATATATTTTTATATTTTCAGTTTTCAAATGTAATTTAAATTTAATTTTTGTATAATTTAGTTTAAAGTTTTAATAATTTTGTGTTTTTGTCATTTCATGTCTATCTAGTTTTATTTTTTATTAATTAGGTTTAGATTTAGTTATTTATTTTTAGTACTTCAGCTTAAACTAAACAAAAATGAGAAATGTTGCCTTGGCACTGGCTGAAATAAGAAAAAAAAAAAAAGTTTGAATATTTAATTAGTTCATGTTTATTTTATTTGAAATTTATTTTTAGTTAACAATAATAACCCTGCTCTAAAATGGTCAGTGCAAAAGATTTAATGCATTTTAAATAATTATAATGCAGGTCCCGCTTGAGCCTGAAGCAAAACAATTACAGTACCACATATAATAAAAAAAAAAAAATGGAATAATATGAATTTAATTTAAGTCTTAAGTCTGATACTATTGGCACATATAAATGTTTATAAAAATGTTTCTTATACTAAAAAATGACAATTTGTAGTAGTTGTCCCGAGTCTCCCCTACGCATTCTAACCAGATAAACCAACTAAACTATCTGGAAGGGTCTCACGGCGCAGGACTCGCTCACGGAGAGCAGAAGCGTCCGTAAAACAGTATGCTCTTGGTTGGATTGTGTCGGATGAAGAAGAGGAACGGATGGTCTGCGTTAAAGACCTGCGGGATCCTCAGACATCGGGTCATCATGACAGCACCGGTGGCTGCAGCTGCTTCGGTTCCTTCCTCGTTTACTTCAACAAAGGCTTTATGAATCACCTTCGACACCACCAGGTCGTTGTTGGGCGACATGCCTGAAAGATTCACCTTCTGCCCATCAAAAACATCCTCCATTCCCATGCTGATCAGAAGACTCTTCATGTCATAGGTTTCCTCCATCTTAAATTTGGGCAGAGATACTTCAACTTCTTGTTGACGCATGACTTCAGGTCTCGTCCACTCCATGAGCTTCTCGTAGGTTAGTGCCTTTTCAAGCTACATAAGAAATTTATGTTAAGTTATGTTATGTTAAAACCATATGAAACCATTATAAATACTAAGAACTTGGCGCATGTATTTGCCATTAAGAAATAATGAAACAACAATCCATATACACTCTTACAAATAAAGGTCCTTTGTTGGCATCTATGGTTCCATGAAGAACCTTTAACATCCATGGAAACTTTCTATTCGACAAAAGGTTCTTTAGATGTTCTTCACACTAAGAAAAAATGGTGCTTTTAAGAACTGTTCACTGAAAGGCTCTTTGGGGAGCCAAAAATAGTTCTTCTATGGCTTCGCTGCAAACCCCAGTTTTGGGATCTTTATTTTTAAAGAAGTATAATCCGTGTTGTCTCACCTTCTGAAGGCCAGTGGTTTCGTCTTCAATCTCTTTGGGAAGGATGATCAACATACTGAGATTCTTCCCGACATACGGCAGCTCCAGAACCTGACTGTTCATCTCTGGGATTAAAGCCAGAGGAAACGCTGCCTTCCGATTCATCATCTTCACTGGTTTAGTTTGAGTCTGTCAAGCATCAATTGAAACACATCACAACTCCTCATATTTCATTTCAAATATTTTAATTGAACAAGAGCATGAAATCTCACCTTGTTCAGCTTAAACTGTCCATCTGTGGTGGCTTCCTTTGGGAATTTCTTCTCCCAGTTCCCCTTGAAGTAGATGGCGTTCACCAAGACCAGTCTCGTCATCGCATCGATGGATCCCTGTGGGAGCAAGTCCTTGATCTTTCCTGCAAAGGAAATACTCTTATAGTATCTCAAAGATACTAAAATAACACTGTTCCAAACAACCAAGAAGGGTTTCACATTTCTACATTTTTATCATACGATGAGTCATAGATCAACTCAAGACAATTAAATGCATGAAAATGTTTTAAATTTAAATTGTTTTTAAGAGTGTGAAGTAACTTTAAATTCAAATTATGTTCATTCTGGTTTTCACCTTGAGTGTTTTTCTCCACCCATTTGTTGATGTCGACACGTGCAGCCTCTGATTTCATCTTGAAGTCCACCTCCTCCAGTCCGGCTTCATAGTATTTTTTTGCATCATTGAGGAATTTCTATAACATAGCAAATCGACTGAATTAGACAACATTTCCAGAACTTTGCCATTTAATGCCATGAACAAACATCGAATTATTTGCTTTGAGTCTTACCTCGACAAACTGGTAGGATTGCTCTCCGTAGAGGCGGTTGGCAAGACTCAACACATACGGGGCTCGTGGTTTCTTCAGTTCACTCATGAGCTTGTTGAAGCTGGAATGAATTTGGTCCTCAGTTTTTTGTCCAGGTGTGGGCTGAGCAGGATATTTCTGTTTGCATCAATTATATCAAATTTAATCAGATGAACCTAGCTACAGGCTGCATGCACCACTACGTCAAATACAGCTGTCATTGCAAGTCATGAGGTTAGTGTTTCATATAAATACTCATACTAAACCTTGAGTTCAGGAGGTAGCTCAAACTTCTGGGTTTGTTGTGTCATTGACGGTCCATGCTGACCCTTGACGCCGCAGGGCTTCTGGGCTTGTTGATGAGATGCTGGAGTCGCTGCATCGAGTTTGGGAGGACTGGTAAAACCCAGGACCTACACAGTATTATTATGGTAGAATTAAATCCTTTTAATTCATTTTCAAGTTGTTATACACTGTGTGAGCAAAGCCATTACGTTTTAGTCCAGTGTGATAACATTAACTAACATTTTTGGGAAAAAGAAATAATCTCTGGGACACAATTACTGTGAGGGTTAATAAAGATAATCTCACTGTTCTGATAACTTCAACATCTATTGTGAATCCATTTCTTAAATACCCTTTAGAAACTTTAAAATGCACTACAAACAATGATATTTCAAGGAAATGTCTCCTGCTGCAGAAAACATTCCCCAAACCATGACACTTCTTCCTCCACCTTTCACTTACTTCTTTACACACTCAGGCATCAAAATGTTTCCCATCAGACCCAAATAAATTAAACTTGCTCTCATCACTGAAGTGAACTTTGGATTCTTTATGCTGATGGGAGGTTTGGTCACTGCAGAGTGCGCTTTCAGTCCGACTTCTCTTAAACATCCCGAGACAGATCCATACCCTGTTCAGGGCTGAACTGGCGAGCAATTCCAGCTGCAGTGCTGGACCGATTCCCCATTGAGAGTCTCTGCATTATCCTGTCCTCTCGTGCATATGTCTTACGTGGACTTTTTGGGGGACTTGAATGAATTAATGCAATATTCTAGAAATCACAGATTTGGAATGACCAGCTTCTCGTGCAGTGGCTGAAAGAGTCGTCCCTTTGGCCTCCATCAGGACTGTTGCAGGGTTTCAGTCACCTTAGAGCGGCACGCCATCTCACAATCTCAGTGAAAATTAGAGGAATGCTGCCAGTTAAATAAGGTTTGTCAGATAATTAAGGAAATTAGCACCAGGTGCCAGATTAACACCAATAACTTGGAGCTATCTGTAAGTGTTCTCTAATTTTGATCAGAGTTCTTTTTCAAATACCTCGTTTAAGTTTTTTTGTACTGTGCTTTAGAATACTATTAATTTATGAAATATGCTTAAAAAACTGCCCTTCTACTCCCGATAACTTCAAATAGCACTAAGCAGTGGCCTTGAAATTTTGGAAATTGTAGATTGTTCTCTAATTTTGTATGTTCTGCTTACAAGTCAATGCTCAACAAATAATGCCCACTGAACATTAATCCATAACTGCAGCTTGGAAATACAGTGCATATTTGGAATAATCTGCACAAGCTGCAACAGTGTGATGCGAGTAAATAATAACCAGTGTTCATTTCTGGGTGAGCTGTTCCTTTAAAAAGCTTTTGTGCAAAAGGCTTATGTCACTTCCTGGTCTGATTCTCCCTCTGTCTCTATTCTCTTTCTCTCACGTCACTCTCTCTCTCAGTTAAAGTAGGTGCAGAAACTCAGGTTGTGTGAGTGTAACCCCTCTCTCCCGGGTCCTCACCGCCACACCTCGTTCTTGTTCCGAGTGGGTCTCCGGCATGGGAGGTGGACGCACTAACAAGGAGGCTAAAGACTGCAGCCTCTAGTGTCAGTCGCTAGTGCGTCTCTTGAGATCAGGGGAGTGAGGTTTTACCTGCACAGCACCTACTTGCTGGCCTCCTTTACACTCACCCCCTTAATCCTCACTCCCATCCGGGTCACGGCACCAATGTAATCCCTCGCTCCCGGGTCCTCACCGCCACACCTCTTTCTTGTTCCGATGGGGTCTCGAACCCGGGTCTCCGTCATGGTAGGCGGACACACTAACAAGGAGGCTAAAGACTGCAGCCTCTAGCATCAGTCGCTAGTGTGTCTCTTGAGATCAGGGGAGTGAGGTTTTGCACAGCACCTACTTGCTGGCCTCCGTTACATGAGATCACCTTAAACATCTGCGCCGCTGTGTTTCCTTTTGCTCCGAGCGACACCATGGCGAGAGCTGAAGAGATGCTAATCGGAGAGTAGAACACATTTCCTGATGTGTTTCCTCCGCTGATCTTCTTGAACAGGTTTAGAGAGAACTGGGTGTTTGCTGCGGGCAAAGGCTCCATTTTCACAAGCTGAGCAAGAAATAATAAAGTAAATAAAGTGACAATAATTCCAAAAATAATTTGTAATTTCCTGTAAACATCTTATTTTTGTCAAAAAAACATGGATGCTTTATGTCTCACATTTCTAACATTAGAACAGTTGTTTAGTAGTTTGTAGCTGGGCCTATGTGTAAAAGCAGAGGTGCAAAGAGTACCTTAAAACCATACTTGAGAAAAAGTACAAATACCTTACAGTGAAAATTACTCCATTACAAGTCACCAATTCCAAAACAACTTGAGTAAAAGTCTTAGAGTATCTGATTTTAACAGTACTTAAGTATTTTACTTATACTAAATATAGGCTCAAAGATGCACTAGTAAAAGAGACATTCCAGTGAAAACAAGAAAGAGTTGATTTGTGAGGAGAGCAGTCAAGTTTATTTTCTAAAACCAAAATAAAACTGAACACCTCGAAATTGCAAAAAAATAAAAATAAAAATATACAATATCCTTCAAGAAGGTCTCTTTAATTTAACGGATAAATAAAATAATGTTAAGTAAAATTAAAAAGTATTTTTGCACTGGATGTGTTGGTTTCAGCCTCATGGCAGGCTGCAGTCATGTCCTCATCTCATAAATAAAACACCTGTGATTCACAACTACTTGTTAAAGCAGCACTATGTAATTTTTCTCTGTTCAAAATTTGCAAAATGTATATAATGAGCGAGTACATCATGAATCCATCTTCCAACCCGCGTTTTTGTCTTATTCCGAATCACTCCGGTACACTTATAATAAGTACTTATATTTGGACTATTGTAGGCTGGTCGGGTCGTCACCGCTGCGGAGTAACACATACCTGCGTGAATCACCAGAGACATAAACTTAGAGAAGTAGCTCCGGTTGGAATGTTCTTCCGCGGGATGTGTGCAGTTCTGTTTATTAACCGCTAGAGCGCCAAAAGTTACATAGTGCTGCTTTAACTCGCATTCACGTAAAGTAGCCGTGTTGACAAGTTTGGGTGAGTAAGGGCAAAGCGCACAAGATTTTGTAGCAGAAATAAACTACTGCAGAAAAAGCTAGGTGCCATGCAAAATGTAAGGTGTAATTGCAACACTCATTACACATGTAGTGAAGTATTCAAAAATGTAGTGAAGTAGTAAAAGTTGCTAATATCTTTGATCTTCAGTAAAACTACAGAGTATTCAAAAAGATACTCAAGTACAGTAATTAATTATATTTACTCAAATACTTAACACCAATGTTTAAAAGTACTTCAAACAAACAGAGAAGTGAATTAAAAGCTTTACCGAGAGTGTTCAGCAGAAGTGAAGAAGTGTCTTGTGTGTCGGAGATGAATGAATTCACATTGATTCTGATAAATGTTGCCTCGCCCTAAAGCCCAGCCTTCCTGTCAAACTAAAGGCTTGTCAGAGCTGAATGTGGAGGAGAATGTGGGCGGCTGTAGTCGAGGGGAGCGGTGGAAAAGTGTTGTCAGGGTGGTGTTTCAACATCTTCAGGAGATCAGTGATCTGCATTAACAAAGACAAACACTGATCAGCTGCTAGAGAATGTTCTCAGGGTTCTCTCAAAGTTATGAACAAAAATTCTTCCAGTAACGTTAATAGAATGTTCATTCAAAGTTATCTGGTCTTTAATAATGCTCTCAGAACGTTAGCACAAAAACATTTTTTTATATATTGTTTATGGAATGTTTTTTTTTCTGAAACATTTTAGTTGGTTGTTCATGTAACAATTTTTAAATGTTACTAGTTGTTTCAGAATGTTTGGAGAACATTCAAAAGTAACATTCCCGTAATGTTTGTAATTTATTAAAGGGGTCATATGATGCTATTTTAAAGATCATTATTTTGTGTATTTGGTGTATCAGAATATGTTGACATGCTTGAATGTTAAAAAAACACATTATTTTTCAAATACTGTACATTATTGTAGGTCCTCTATGCCCCGCCTCTCTCAAACACGTCGTTTTCAACAAAGCCCCCTCCTTTGACAAGCGCAGTCTGCTCTGATTGGCCAGCTGACCCAGTGCATTGTGATTGGCCGAACACCACAAGCACGCATCGGAAATGTAACGCCCCTTACCATAATCGCGAGCTTCAAGCTTTCAAAGTAAATCAAGACCGTTAATAATGTCGTTAGCTTTACCATCAGTTCAAGCCCGAAAGGGCAACAGAGTCGCGTGACAGACACAGTGATGATGCAGTACACAAGCCGCGGTTAAGACAGCTGACATGCTATGATTTCTGACAGGCAGTTCACTCTCCTGTGATGTGACCCTGTTCCCCTCACACACACACACACGATGCGTTACTCTGCGCTGCGCAAAACTCCGCATTTGAACAGTCAATAGCAAATACTTAAACTGATAACAAAACATACTTAGTCGCTGATTCAGAAGCGCCAGATTGTCATAGCAAAGTTGGAATTGACCCTTATTTTTATTTAGAAATAACCTATGTGCACAGCCAGCCTTGTACTCTTCTAGGTTAAAAAAACTGTCGTCCATAAAATGCGTTGCACAAATTCGAACATCTGGGTTGTGCTGTTCTGTTGTAAATAACAGAACAGAACTTTAGTCTTTGCAACTTTACAGATCTTCTTTATGCACCAAGAGCTTGTAACACTCCAAAGAGAAAGGAAAACTTGAAATCGCATCATATGACCCCTTTAAGATAAGATGGAATGTTCTCTTACTGTTTGCATAACCAAGAAAAACGTTTTTAAAACATTTTTAAAACTTTGTTTCGAACATTCAAAGAACTTTCTAAAATAATGTTTTCATAACTTAGTGGGAACGTTGGCAAAATGTTTTTAGAATATATTTGGTCAGTTATTGTTGCTGTGGAAGCAATAGCTGTATCTTGTCTGTTAATTTTTAGTTCTGTAAAAAACATGTTTTATACAGATATCCCACTTTCATAGTGTAGGATTGTTCATGCATAATTAAACACATTAAACATTTATTTTACTTTTTTAAAACCTTTTTTTTAATACATTTAAACATTTTTAGGATATTAGGATAAACAACACTGTAATATGATCAGTAAGTCATGGCAACTTCTTTAACAAGAAAATAAGTTGAGCAATTTCAACTGTTTCTTTAAGAAGTTATGTAAAGTTCAACTTGATTTTTGAAGTCAGTTTAATTTAATTTAAGTTACTTAAAGTTGAAAGTTGACTATACTTAAACATTTAAGGCAGCAACTAATCTGAAGTTTTTAAGTTGAAGTAGGTGTAATTTGTTTTTTTTTACAGTCAACAACAGCAATAATAATAAAAAGAAATAAAGTTTAATAAAAAAGTTGTTTGCAAATAGTCACACAATTTACAACTTTCTTATTTTTCAAACTTCTAACAACAAACAAATGCTTATTATAAGTAAACAAATGATTTTGCATTTATGTATACTAAATTTAGCTAATTGAAGTAGCAGATTAAATAAATAACATTCCTTATAATAAGGCATGTCATAGGTGAAAAAGTATATTTTCAAAGCACAGTTGATGAACAGAAAATCTGACCAAAAACAAGCTGAAAAAGGACAACTACAAAATACATGACAGCATGTTTAGATCTGAATTTTGTAAGTCAAGGAGAGTTAAACTGTGTCGTCATCATGTCATTTCCCATCATGGTCGGAGGAGAGCAAGTCGCACAGCATTTTTAATCGCCATGAATTATTTGAATTTTGCTGTTCCTGAAATTGTTATGTAATAATTCATTTATAAAAAATAAATAAACGTGCACCTGGTGGTCATTTCTGTGCATAATTGCATTCTCAAATACACAGCGCAACTTTTTTCAGCAGTGTTGCTTGGGCACTTTTTCATTGAGAGTGGGCAACAAATTTCTGTCTAGATACTTTAGATCAGTCGTGGGCCCTGTGTCTCACCTGGTTGCCCGTTGACGGCAATGTTGCCCAGCAAAATTGCTCAAAAAGTTGCCCTGTGTATCATAGGCTTTAGTAATGTGCGTTCTCTATGAAATATTTTCCTATTAGATCATGAAAGTGTGGCGATGTTCGTATTTGCTCTTATTCATATAGCCTACAGTCATACAACTCTGTCGGTCAGGCCGCCGTTGTACATGTGAATAATTGTGAAGTAACTTACCTACTTTAAAATAAAGGTCAAATAAGTCAGAACTGTGAGTCATTCTGGGTGTGACTGTATGAAGACACTAGTGCAAACACGCTTTCACCATCATACAGTAGGGCTGGTGTATTTGGTTTTGTGCCAAGTAGATTGTTTTCATTTGATGTTAAAGAATGCCAGTTATGAATCTGCAAACCACAAGATGCTCTTGCAAAAGATTTCAGGTTTGGCTATTAATATCTGATGTGTGTTTTCTATGGAATATTTTCTAGATTGTGTCATAAAGTTTAGCAAAGTTCATATTTGTTAATATTTATTTACAGTAAGGCTGACGCAGTTGTGAAATAACTTACCTGCTTTAAAATAAAGGTAAAATAAAAAATAATGCAGAATTGTGAGGGAGTGACTGTGTGAGGTTTGTGAATACATGATTTGGCCCTCAAGAGCTGGTGAAATCAGACTGTTGCGCTACCAAATATTTTGTTTTAAATAGAAGCCAAGATGTTCCTGTAAAATATTTCAGGTTTTGTTTGACTACACATTTGACTAATGAATTTGCAGTTGTTTTACAATTGTCTGTGGTTATTCATTAAAAAAATAAAATAAAATAAAAAAATCTGTATCAGATTGTACCAACATGTAGCCAATTAAATACATTGCCTGGCCAAAAAAAAAGTTGATGGGTTTAAATAAGGATTGAAATGCAACATCGACATGCAACGACATGCATTTATTTCCATCAAGAGTTGCATACATTTTTAGCCGAGATCTTGTATTGACAATGGGAGTTGAACTGCTCTGTAAAGTCGAATCCAGCACATCCTCAAGACAGTGACTAACTCATACATGAAAATGATTCCTCATGCTCCCTGAACCACTATTTCCCAATTTGAGCCTGATGAATCTTGACATTGTCATCCTGGAATATGGACATGGGTGCGTCTTCCAACATTGTAGCTACTCACTACATCAGTAAGGGTTCAAAGAATTGTTGCCAAACACAAAACATGCCAGAAACATATTAGCCTATTGCATATTATTGCTTGCTTTTTAATTTCTTACTAAACATTAATGCACATTGTATTTAACATAACCTGTATGCAATCATATGTAGCCTACGTCTCACAAAAATATCCACATTTGTAAAGCAGCAGAGTATTAATAACAACATGCTTTTAAAAACTAGCAAATTAAATGTCTAAACACATGATCAAAGACACATATATTATATGATGCAATATCACTTAACATCACTTTTAGACAACAAATAACGTGGACAGAAAAGGTTCAAAAGAGCTCTATCGCCATCTAGCGATGAAGGTGTTATTGAACATCATTCAGCATGATTTTAATACAGGCTCCGGGGCATTACAATTCTTTTAAGCAGCTTTTATTTTATTAAGGGGTAAATTAAAAAATTAAAAAAATATTTTATTTTAAGGGGTTTGACAGAAAGAAAAAAAAAAATTGGAAATCCCTGCATTACATGGTTTGCAATATTATTCAAATGACATTTGTGAATATAGTTCAAGCTAAATGGTATGACACACAGTAGGATTTTTAGAAAGGAAAATTTCAAGGAGAAAAAAGAAGATTTAGGGCGAATCAATTAATTGTGAGCCTGGAGCACAAAAGCAGTCTTAAGTCGCTGGGGTATATTTGTAGCAATAGCCAAAAATACATTGTATGGGTCAAAATTATTGATTTTTCTTTTATGCCAAAAATCATTAGGATATTAAGTAAAGATCATGTTCCATGAAGATATTTTGTAAATTTCCTACCGTAAATATATCAAAACTTAATTTCTGATTTGTAATATGCATTGCTAAGAACTTAATTTGGACAACTTTAAAGGCGATTTTCTCAATATTTTGATTTTTTTGCACCCTCAGATTCCAGATTTTCAAATAGCTGTATCCTAACAAACCATACATCAATGGAAAGCTTATTTATTCAGCTTTCGGATTATGTATAAATCTCAATTTTAAAAAAAGTACCCTTATGACTGGTTTTGTGGTCCAGGGTCACAATTATGAATTTACTGCCATTGTGTGAATAATATGTAATGATGTAATCCATAAAAAAGAAACTAATCTGATTATGAGCATTTTAAAATGTAATATACTCTAATTATGAGTACTTAATTTTTGGAATCTGCCTATAAGTAGCATAAACAAACTAAACGTTGAACAGATTAATCCAAAAATATTTAGATATTTTCCCTTTCTGTAGTCTGTTCTGTGTCAGAACTTAAGAATCAATGCTGTTAAAGTAAACACAAACAGAAAATTTCACTAGAGCCTTTATTTATCAGAGGAACACATGCAA